AGCTGGTCGTAACCCGAAAAGTTCATTAGTAGAGGTGTTCGTATCCCAAGGTATGTCCAAAATGTATTTAAGAAGGGACCATAGATGGTTCAACTTGAGGTTTGAATGGAGTTCTGTTCAGTGCACGAGGAGCAATTTCCTGGTGCTGTTCATGTGTACAGACTTTTGCCTACCTTTGTTGGCCAGTGAGAAGAAACTCAAAAAGCACTGGCTGCTATCTAGTGGATAATAGAAGAGGTCAAAGTTGCAGTTGCTGTCAATGCGAAGAGCAAGTTGAAATTCTGTTTTCCCATCACTGTGAAGTACTACATTAGGTGATTCCACCCTCCATGTTACATCAAACCTTTAATTAAAGAAAGGTGACATGAGCAAAAGGTAGGTTGTTTTTCACAATGTTGTTGTCTTCTAAAATGTTGAGACTTCATGGACGTTTCAAATGGGGAAAAAAAAGTGCACTTATTTTCTTATTAAAACTCTCAAACTTCCATTGCTTGCTGCGGGAAGGCTGGGTTGGTAGGTGATAGGACATGAAGATCATTTGCCCTTTTCATTTTGGGTAAGAAGCTCAAATTAATTGCTTGCACTTAGGTCAGGCATGTGTGCTAACCAAGTGTTGTGGGCTCCATGTGACAATTTAATGCTTCTTCAGCATTAATTTATAAGGAACCACAAGATCAATGAACAATCACTGTAGGATCCTACTGCTTCATCCTTAAATCCAAGCAGATGTTGCAAATAATGCGGGGAAAGTGAATCCTGAGCTTCATTCTTCAATATGAAGCCTTAACACTCAGTGACAATCAGTGTGGTGTAGTAGATACAGTGCTAGATTAGGCCCAGGAAGAGGCCAAGGTTTAAGTCCTCACTCAATCAAGGAAACTCATAAGGTGTCTTTAGGTTATATAAATTTCACAATCCAACCTACCTCACAGGGGAGTAGTAAGTACACCACATGGAGCTGGAGGAAAGGCAGAGTCTAATTCTAATAAATAAACAAATCCATCTCTTCACATCCATATGTGTGTGGGTGTAGGTGTGTGTGTGTGTATATATAGTCACATCCAACCATATATAAAGCAAAAGGCTAGGTGTGGTTTAAAGTACCACATTGATGCATACTTGGGGGGTTAGTCACTTATCTTTTTCACTCCAGAACATTCTCAGTGATTTTCAAGTAGGGTTCACTGAGTTATCATAGTGTAGGGAAGAAAGGACTTTAGAGTATATTTTGCAACACTAAGAGTAACCAACATGGTCATTTTTATTATACCTTATTGCAACTGAATGTTAGATTTAGTTGGGGGTCAAGCAGCCTGCACTTGTATCTGCTGCTAGTCACCATTGCATGGAACTGAAATGTAAGGCCTATACTCCATATATGGCTCATAAAGGAAAAAAGCAGCTGTAGGGGCACAACCTGGAATGTTTCTTGAATAGAAAAATGAAAGATCCATTAGGAACCAATTCAACATTCTTGCTGAAAAATTACCACTCAGCTGTCATTTGCAACAAAAGCTGGTGCTTCCTATATGTCTCTTTCAGGACTGAAAAGCATTGAGAAGATTTTGAACAGCCCAGCGCACTTCCTCTGGATCAGAAGGGCACTTTGTATCAATCCCTCCTACCACAGCTATTTCCCCCCTTTTCACAACAGACAATGCAAGACTTAAATAATTTGTAATTCTTTGTAATCATTCTCTGGCAGAGAAATATACAGCATGCACAAAGCAGGCGGTGACCAAATTAGCTTAGAGCCTATTCCAGTACAGGTACACCCTTCTTTCAGTTACCTGGGATACTTGGTGACTTCATGGACACATTCAGGTACTATAATTTTCTGGGCAGCAACACAGAAGTAGTGGTAGTCCTCAGGTTACTACCATTCATTCAGTGACCATTCAAAGTTATGATGGTACTGAACGAGAGGGACTTACGATGGGTCCTCAGAGTTCTGGCTATCACAGGGTCCTCACAGTCACATGATCGCAATTTCCGATGTTCCCTGCCAGCTTCCTGCAAGCAAAGTCAATGGGGAAGCTGGCAGGAAGTCAGAAGTTGCAATCACTTGAGGTCCTTGCTTAACGACCCATGTGGTCCTTGTTTAACAACAGCAACCAGGACTGCCAGAATTGCCATTTCTAAGCGACACAGTCATGTGATGTCGTGCTTTACAGCCGTGTTGCTTAGTGATAGAGTTCCTGGTCCCAATTGCCATCTTAACCCAAGGACTACCTGTAGGTTGCCATTGGTTCATTCCATGTTTTTTCAGCATTCCAGTTTGGCTTACACCTAGGATTTCCTGATGGTCTCCCATATTGGTACTAACCAGGTCCAGCTTAGCTTTTTGGAATCAGTCCCTAGTTCAGATGAACTTATTCTGGCTGATTCTAATACTGAGTTCCTGTTCATTAATTTATTAAGGCTTATATGCTATTCCAACTGAAAATTATTCTGAGCAGTTTCCATACCTCCTTCTAGTTATGTGATTAAGTTACAGTTAGTGTCATATTATCAAACCAAACAATAAATCATCACCTCCATATTGTTATGTCCATTCATAATCAACAATCAACTGCAGCTGTTTCCATCGACCATCACTCAATGTTCACCTATCTCCCAAAGCTCTCTGGAAAAGCTATATCTTAATTCATTTCCAGAATGTGAACAAGGATAGGGACAACCTTAGCTTTGGGGATACAGTATGGTGTTCCAGAGGAGGGGGCTCTAGAGAAAGAGCTTGTGTCTGGGGTCTGTAATGATCCTGCAGTCAGCTTTCCATACTGGGTTTCAGCAGGTGGGCAAAGTCCATTGACAGAAGGCAGTCTTGCAGATACCCATATTCTGACCCCTACAGGGCCTTAAAATGACCAGCTCCTTGAATTGCATCCAGCAGCTGCCTGGCAGCCAGTGCAGCTCCTGAAATAGTGGTGTAATATGGATGATGACCCCATCAGTCCTTGGGTTCTGGCTTCTGGACTTCCATGCAGTACATTGCAGCAGCCCAGTCCTGATATGACCAACACATGAGTAACTATTAGGAATGGTTGCAACTGGTGTGCAAGATGGAGTTGGGCAGAAGCCCTCCTGGTTACCACCTCCACGTGCTCTTTCATCTGGAGCCAAGAGGACCTCCAGAATTATTTATTTGTTTAACAAATTTGGATAGCTGCCCATCTACTGAAGGAGCTCTGGGCAGCTAACGGAAATAATACATAAGCAAACTATACAAATCCAATTCAAAAGAAACTGGGTTGAGGCCCTAAAAAAATTACATTATTAGATTGTGGACAATTAGATGTTTTTCTTAAATTATGGGAGACAAGAGTCACATTGTTTGTTATCTAGTGACTACAGGAATCAGGAGATGCAACCACTATATACCTTAGTAGCCGGGATCCACTTTCGAGTACTTGGAGCAACTCTTTATCCAGTTTTATAATATGTAGATACCCAGCATGTAAAAAGGAAAAAAAAATGCAAAAAAGGCATTTATAGTTAGGTAAACTTTTTTAGTTTCTTATTTTGTCTCTCAGTGACTCTTGCAAATAGGCATTAAAAGTTAGGAGAGAAAGAGAGGTAGTATAATATCCTATTCAAATACAAAGGTGAGATTGGTTTCTGTTTTTGGATGATGTCAACCTTGCTAAAGGATTAGGCACATGGTTCTTGTGATCAAATGCGGGGTATAGGTAACAGCTACAGTGCTACCAACTGGCTCTTTTACAGGCAGGGTGTTGAAATAGATGTGTCTCATGTCTAAATCATCCTATAGTATATTCTTCCAATATGTCTTTTTATGGACATGGGCATTTTTAGTTTTTAGTGCTACTTACGCTTCTTCAATTATATAGGATGGTGTCCAGACTGAACTCCAAGGCACAGTGATGGTGCTGAAGGGAAATTCCACCTCATCCCAGACCAGTCTTTCATTATACCATGACTGAAAAATTCATCAAGAGAAAATGTTAGTCTTCATTCTCACTTTTCCCATTCCCAACGCTGATAATGCTAAATCTAAGCTACCCTTTTCCAGCTTGGCCACCCTGCAGACTGAGGCTTTCAACTTACAGAATTCTATAAATTTCATGTTAATGGCTGAGGAACTCCCAGTTAATACCGAATGCTGGGGCAACAGGAAAGGAAGATCTTTTTATTGGCATTAGGTGAGGTTAGGATTACAGTTAGAATTTTCTTTAAAATAAGCAAAAAAAAAAAAAGGGAAAAAATTAAAAAATTATTTTTTTGGAAAGTGGGGGCTTTTTGGTTTTTGTTGATTAGGTTTTAGCACTGGGTCAATGATTAGGTAAAATGTTGTTATGGGCATTAGGGTGAGTTTAGGATTATAGTTAGGATTTCTTTAAAATGAGGAAAAAAATTAAAGATTAGAACAGAGAATAATTTTT